CTTTGTGTTTTTGAAACCATTAGTGAAAAGGCCAGACTTCAGGGGTATCTGAGGCAGGCTTGAAACACAAGAGTCAGGGTGGCTTCTGGGTAATACCAGATGGCTAGGCCTCAGACTGACGAAGCCTCTTGGATGAGGGGCGAAACGTTTCTTTTTAACAAAAAAAACGAAGTCCAGATGACATGATTCAACCTTTTTTGCTATCAGTTAACAGTTTCCGTTCTAAAAACTACTGTTTACCTGTGAGTTTAACAACATATAGTATCTTTCAGTATTTAGGGGGAGAGATGGTGCAAAGATAGTGCAGCCGACCTGGGAGCAGAAAGTTGCAGGTTCAAGCCCCAGCCATTCCCACATGTCATGGTGTCTGGTGCAAGACACCCAATCCCTAACTGCTCCCCGGGCACTTACATTGCTGCCCACTGCTCCACCTGGGTGTATGTCTCAGGTGTGATGGGTTAAATACAGAGAACTAATTTCATCATCGTATGGGAACATACAATGATGACATTAACACATAGCACTTTTTATTTATCTTTATAAATCTAAACTCTACATTACTTTCTATTTGAAACTAATGAGTACGTTGAGTCTGGATGAAATCAGTTGCTTTTCTCAAACACTTTAAGACGTAAACCAGACAGGTTCAGACTAGTTTACAATGTGTATTTTGCTTTGGAGAAGCCAAACATTTTAATGTAACTTTTTAAATAGTACTCCTTGGTAGTAATACTGTAATATTATACCTCCATATGCAGGAAGAGGGCCACCTGCATCATGAAGGACCCCACTCACCCAGCACACACCCTTTTTGCCCCGCTCCTGTCAGGAAGGAGGTTGAGGAGCATTAAGTGTAAAACCACTAGACTGAGGAACAGCTTCTACCCTGAAGCTGTTAAGACTCATGATTCTCTAATCATTTTAATCACTGTGAAACATCACATCATGTTGCTGCTGATCTGTTTCATGTTGCTGTGTTCATTCGTACTCATCTGTTCACAAAGACTCATGTTTGTGCTGCTGTTCAGCGTATTGTTTTTGTGCTACTAGTGCTTAGCGTATTTTAGTTAACGTTTTTCTTAGAGCTTATTACTGTTTTTCTTTTACATTTTATACTTTTGTTGGATGTAACTGGGACCCTGTGTACACAGTTTTGTTCCACCACATGTACCACATGTGGTGCGAATGACAATAAAGAACCTTGAACCATTGAATATTAATAGTAATATTGATAATATAGTATCAGTATTTTATCAGGCTTTCTGAGGGTTCTTCGAACTTTGGCTGCTTTTTTACTCACTTTCAGTCTGATCTGTCCATCTGACTGTTTTCAGAGGAAAAGGTATTTAGCCCAAATAGCTAATCAGAATTGGGCCAGCATGTAAATTACAACTTGGCAAAAAATATAGTGATAATTTCCAGGCACATCAAAATGTCGCAGGAAGAATATCAATGTATCCAAAGTCCTAATAACTAAAAGCCGGTGTTACAGTTCACCGTGTTTTGTGTCATCTGGTGGAATAAGTTGTTGCTATTGAATATTGTTGGAAAACAGGAAGATGTTGCACTGCTGCTCTCACCAATGCTGTAATGTTTACTTAGCAGGAAATTATCAGTCAGGGTCTTTTGGATTGTTTCATTTCAACAGGAGCTGCTGAGTGCAGGTCAGAAGTCCCACACCATCATTATCCACTAAAATTAAAATACTCAACTTACAATTTTTTTTTTACCAAGTTAATTAGTTTGTTAATTTGGTACAGAGATTAAAGAGTGTTAAAGACGGGAGCTGGCTGCTGGCCACCGGATCCGGAAACCCCTTCCAGCCCAGTCTTTACCCCCGGCTCGAACCTCCCTCAGAAGTGGCAACTTATACTAATCAATAAATCAAGGAAACGTCAATTAAGTTTTATCAATTATATTAAGAAAAGGCAGGAAAAGATTACAATTTACAGCGCTGGACTCTTCAGTCTGTGACGCGTTCACAGAGCCGGAAGAAGAGCCCCGATGTCCCGTGTCATTACTAATTTATAGGGTCCTAACACTCCTCCTTCGCAGAAGGGGAGCTCAACCTGTCAGTGTATGAGGGGGCGTGACTAAGTGTGATCTCAATGGATCTTATGTGTTTATGACGTGTTAGGAAATATGAGACGGTGCTCCAAAAGCCTTTCTGCGTGATGTGGCGAGCAGATTAAACTATTCCTTGACAGATATTGAATCCCAGAGAGACTCTTTTTAGAGTGGCTGGCCCAGTTTAACCCAGTCAGAACCGGGCCATAATTTCATTATAATCCCGTCTCTGAGCAGATCAAAACCATAGGACCAGTCTAGATAAGAAATATTCAACAAGAGAATAAAATTATAATGCATGTTGATTTTTTTATAGGGAACCACGATTAGTTGTAACAATAGACTTTTTTTGAGAAATATTTATTTTAGATGTAAAAACGATACAGTAAAAATATTGCAGGCTGTTTAGGTACCGATTATTCCCCCCCATCCCCGCCAAGCTGCTGTAGCTAAAAAACGTTACCCAAGGAAGCTAACGAATAATACGACGCACGTTACACGGCAACACTGGCCCGTTACTTTTATAGACTGAAGAAGAGGTTACAGGGAGATTTTAGCCATTCTGAAGTGGGGTTCTGTGAAAACATTAACATGATTTAATATCTTACCTGTTGTAGATGGCTCTTTGAATGAGCTCCGTTTAGAGAAACAGACTGATGAGCTAACAGCTAATTAAAGTCCAGTCAGGAACCAAGTGGGTTGCAGTCATCTTAAAATAATGCCAGTCTCAAAATTCACAGTGAGGATGCTATTTATTACATTGCTATCAGTTTTATAATACACACCTTATTGTGGAAGAAATATTATTAAGTTCATGACAAAAATGATTCAGGCTGAAGCAGAACTGCTGTGGATATTTGTGTTTGCAAACAACTATAAACTAAATAACTGTTGTACACAGAAGTGTGTACCACACATTATGGTGAACTGCTATGAACTTTTGGAGACTGGAGCTGTTTTTAGTCTGTAGAAATCCACTTTGATCTTGGATGTGTTCAGACTAGATGTTAGCACACCAAATCCTGCTGAACTAAACCCTTTCTACACACTCAGGGCTTTCAAAGAGCCATCTGCAGCAGGTGAACTACACTACATTGCCAAAAGTATTTTTTCCACCTGCCTTGACTCACATATGAGATTAAGTGACATCTTATTCCTAATCTATAGGGTTCAATATAATGTTGGTCCACCCTTTGCAGTTAGAACAGCTTCAACTCTTCTAGGAAGGCAGTCCACAAGGTTTAGAAATGTGTTTATGGGGATTTTTGACCATTTTTCCAGAAGCGCATTTGTGAGGTCACATACAGATGTTGGACGAGAAGGTCTGGCTCTCAGTCTCCGCTCTAATTCATCCTAAAGGTGTTCTGTCGGGTTGAGTTCAGAACTCTGTGCAGGCCAGTCAAGTTCATCCACACCAGACTCTGCCATCCATGTCTTTATGGACCTTGCTTTGTGCACTGGTGCACAGTCATGTTAGAAGAGGAAGGGGCCAGCTCCAAACTGTTCCCACAAAGTTGGGAGCATGGAATTGTCCAAAATGTCTTGGTATGCTGAAGCGGTCAGAGTTCCATTCACTGGAACTAAGGGGCCAAGCCCAGCTCCTGAAAAACAACCCCACACCTTAATCCCCCCCCCCCCCTACCAAACTTCACACTTGGCACAATGCAGTAAGACAAGTACCGTTCTCCTGGCAACTGCCAAACCCAGACTCGTCCATCAGATTGCCAGATGAAGAAACCCGATTTGTCACTCCAGAGAACGTGCCTCCACTGCTCTAGAGTCCAGTGGTGGCATGCTTTACAATACTGCATCTGACGCTTTGTATTGCACTTGGTGATGTATGGCTTGGATGTAGCTGCTTGACCATGGAAACCCATTCCATGAAGCTCTCTGTGCACTGTTCTTGAGCTAATCTGAAGGCCAAATGAAGTTTTGAGGTCTGTAGTGATTGACTCTGCAGAAAGTTGGAGACCTCTTCGCACTATGCGCTTCAGCATCTGCTGACCCCGCTCCGTCAGTTTATGTGGCCTACCACTTGGTGGCTGAGTTGATGTCATTCCCAGACACTTCCATTTTCTTATAATACAGCTGACAGTTGACTGTGGAATATTTAGGAGCGAGGAAATTTCACAACTGGATTTGTTGCATAGATGGCATCCTATCAGTTCCACGCTGGAATTCACTGAGCTCCCGAGAGCGACCCATTCTTTCACAAATGTTTGTAAAAACAGTCTGCATGCCTAGGTGCTTCATTTTATACGCCTGTGGCCATGGAA